CAAGATATGCCAAGTCCCTTAAAAATAGCAGCTCAAGCAAGGTGCCAGTGGCTCCTAGCTACTCGCGACTGAGATCTGAGGATTGAGGTTCAAATCCAGCCCAGACAGGAAAGTCCATGAGACTTTTATCTCCAGTTAACTATAGAACAGCACAGGGACAGTGCCTAGACCCTGAGTCTAAGCTCCATGACTCGAAAAAATATAGCAGCTCATTTAATGCTCACAGCAGACTTCTAAAGTTTTGGGGGTTATTTTCTCCATTTGCAGGAAAAGAGTCTGACATATGGGGAGGTTAATGACTTTCCAAAGGTGACAGAGGTGTTTGGTAGAGCTGGGGTTTGAAGACAGGCAGTATGCACCGAGAGCCTATATTCTCAAACTCTATCTCCAACAACAGTCAGTTTGGAGAGTTGGGGTAAATCATCTACTAGATTCCTCTTTTGGAAGGCAAATCACATAACATGATTAAGCTTTGAAAAAAAAAAGAAATTGAATAAACCTGAAAACAATACAGTGTCATCCTTCTTATAAATATTAGTTGTAGTTGCATGTGAGAGAGATTGTAGTAGATTTCAGTGTAACTAGGACAAGGAGGGCTGGAGTTCCTTGTGGGGAGTGGGGAATGTATAAGTGATTTCACTTCACATTTCTATATTGCTTTCTTTTCTTTTTTCTTTCTTTTTTGTTTTTGTCTATTATGGGGCTTGAACTCAAGTCCTGAGCACTGTCCCTGAGTTCTTTTGCTCAAGGCTAGCACTCTACCACTTGAACCACAGGACCACTCTAGGCTTTTTATGTGATTAATTGGAGATAAGAATCTCACAGACTTTCCAGCCCAGGTTGGCTCTGAACTGAGATCCTCAGATCCAAGTCTCTTGTGGATAGGCGTGAGCTACCAGCACCCAGCTTATTGCTTTAGTTCTTACAAGAGCATGGTACACAAATGTACCCTTCAAGGAACTAACTGATGGGCATCAAGGAAGTATGTGAGATTATTTGAGAATATTTACGCTTTTCCTTATGCTCACTGTCTTAGCATTTGCCTTTGCTTTTCTCAATCTGGAAAGAAAAGGTCAGCCTCTTCCTACTCTTGGACTTGATGAGGTCAGTTTCATGATGTCGTCTGTGGTGTAGTACTTTGGGGAAATATGTTAATTGTATCACACGTCTGGTCTTACTTGTTTTCGATGTACTGAGTTTGAACTCAGGGCTTCTTTCTTCATAGGCAGGCACTCTGTCACTTGAGTCATACACTTAACCACCTAACCCTTTGCCCTGTCTTGTGTTTTTGCCCAAGGCCAGCCCCAGAGTCTTCCATCTTCCTATCTGTAGTCCTCCACATAGATGGGATTCTAAGTGCATGCCACCATTCCTGGTTTACTGACTGAGATGAGATCTTGCTATTTTATTTTCTTGTGTTTTGTTTGTTGCCTTGGCCTCCCAACATGATCTCCTGATCTTTACCTCCACTGTAACTGGAATTACACGGGTGAGTCACGTTGCTAGCTTCTAATTTCTTAACCTCTGGGAAACTGGAGGGAATGTATATTGTCTCACTAGTTCTAAATTTGATCATTTCCTTCTGCAAAGACAAAGAAAATCAACCCCTTTAGGTTTCGTAGACCATAAATTGTCAACTATTCTGGATACTACAGCTTGGGAACAGTTAGAGAGGATATGCCAAAATGTGAGCAGGTTGTGTTCCAATAAAACTTTATTAACCAAGCCGGGCGCTGGTGGCTCACGCCTGTAATCCTAGCTACTCAGGAGGCTGAGATCTGAGGATTGCGGTTCAAAGCCAGCCAGGGCAGGAGAGACCGTGAGACTCCTATCTCCAATAAACCACCAGAAAACCAGAAATGGCGCTGTAGCTCAAGTGGTAGAGCGCTCACCTTCAGCTGAAGAGCTGAGGGACAACACCCAGGCCCAGAGTTCAAGCCCCACGACCGACAAAAAAAAAAAAGAAAACTTTATTAACCAAAAGCAGGCAGAAAGCTACATTTAGTTCCTGATCAGTACTATCTGGAGCACTGATCCTGCCATTTGGTTCCCAGGGTTGGTGGCTTCCTCTAATCCTCAGCTAGAAAGACATTGGAGTGATGGTGGCCACTTGTGCTGAAGGAACAGCCTCTGCCTTTCCAAGTTTTAAGTGACAGGGACAGAGTGCCTTTAGGACAATGGCAGAAAGTGTGGGTCAGGCATCCCCACCCAGGACTATTCAGTGGTTTTCTTCCATGTCAACTCCAGCAAGAGTGCAACGTAGTGCTTACTTGCTTCTTTTCATCTCTCATAGAAGGAAGTCATTGTTCACTTAGACCTCTCCTCCAGCCATAGGACGACTCTTCCTTAGTTATAACTCCTAGGGAGAATCCTAAGTGTTTGGGAACTAGACCACATTGTTCTTTCTTCATTGTAATTCCTCTCTTGGCTCAAATAATTCATTTCCTTGGTCAAAAAATTCTGATTTGGGGTCCTGAAGCAAATGTTCCTGTCTCACTTGTGTGAGAGTGACTGCTCTCTAAAAGGAAAGGGGGAGCCACATGCTGGTGGCTCAAGCCTGTAACCCTAGCTATTCAGGAGGCTGAGATTTGAGGACCATGGTTCAAAGTCAGCCAGGGCAGGAAAGTCTGTGAGACTCTTATCTCCAATAAACCACTGGAAAAACCAGAAGTGGCACTGTGGCTCAAAGTGGTGGAGTGCTAGCCTAGAGCAAAAAGAGCTCAGGGACAGCATCTAAGCCCCATGAACAAAAAAACAAGGAAAAGAAACAAAGGACAGGTTCTGCTTTCATTTTTCAAATATGTTAAGTTCCTAACCAGCCTGTTGCTGTTCAAAATTCTTCTCAAAGGGGTCATGGGACTGTCATACACTGCAGACATTTGGCTGATCCATTTTTCTTTTTTGACCCATTGGAAATAGAACCCATGACCTCACACATGTGAAACAGGTATTCTAGTATTGAGCTACACCACTGGTCACCCCATTATTGTTCAATAAACAGTCGATGGACAAAACCTTATAAGTATAGTTTACAAACTGAGGCTCTCCCCTCTCCCCCCCCCACCACATGTAGATTATTTCTCTCCAATCCTCTGGAAATAATATCTACTTGGAAAGGAGAAAGCTCACATCACCCACACCCACAATCCTAACCCCAAGACTTTGGGGAAATGTGTACATTGAGTATAATTAGGTCAAACTGTGGTCAGGGCTTTAAAAGCCAAAATGTTCATGCTACCTTTAACCTCTCCCCTGTGGACAGAGTAGAGAGACAGGAAATTAAGGAGGTTATGTTTTCCTTCCTGTATGTTCCTCAATGTGAAATGATCTACTTTAATAACATGTAAGTTAAAATGTGCATATTTTATTTCTATTGCAAGTCTCGCCCTTCATAGACCTCCCCCTCCCCAGAAGGAAGTATCTCAAATTAAGGCCATTTTAATATGGAGGAATAGAATGGACAATCTTGGTTAAGACTAAAATCAGGGCCTCACACTTCTTGGCAGTTGTACTACGTCTTGAGCCATGCCTACAGTGCCCTTTTGCATTTGTTGTTTTCAAAATAGGGCCTTGATTTATGCCTCAGCTGGACTGCAATCCTCCTATTGTGCTTCTCCATGTTGCTGGAGATGACAGGTGTCACCCCTGTCCAGCCATTGTGCTTCTCCCATAGCTAGGGTAACAGGCATGTGCTACTGCAACTAGCACTGGCAGACATAGAGTCTCATGAATTTATTTTTATTTTTTGCCCAGGCTGACTCTGAACCCCAATTCCCTCATCCCCACCACTGTACTCAGTTGGCAATCTTGTTTTTATACCCCTGCTGTCAAGAGTGAAAAAAAAATCTGTTCTAGTCAATGATGCCACTGTGTGTGGTGGCTGAAATCCTTGTAATTATGAAATTACTCACAACTTGCAATTTAAACTTTATTTCATATCTATTGTTAAATTACACAAAATCTGTGAATGGTTTGTAAAGCTACACCATTGAACAGATGTTTACAGTTGAAATCATGGGATTTACATGATGATGACAAAAATGTATATTTATAACATCCCCTATATACAATAATCAGTATAGACAGAGAAAATGCACTTAATCTCTGAAAACCATGCACACCACAGCAATAACACAAATGCCTATTGTTCTGGACAAACTTTTCCACTGGCTCAGGCTTCTTCCTGCCTTCCAACACTAACTTTGTCCATTGGAAGAATAAACAGTATCAATTAAAACTAAACAAAATTGAAATACCATAGCAACCTACAGAATAATTTTCAAACACAATGTGCACAAAATATTTTCACTCTAAAACGCTTTGATCTTAAGGTGTGTATTTTTTTTTGTTGTTCTTTCTAAAATTCATTCCAGGTTGTAGGTCTCATCATTCTCAAGACTGCAATTACATCAGACAAAACAAAAACTATAACTACTGAGAAAAGTTCAGAGTCAAGAAAAGTCCTTTTGAAATCCAAACGCTCGGCTTCTTTGTCCAGGTTTGTGGCCATATTATTACAGATGAAAGTAGCTCATGCACGGGGCCAGATTGTACAAGACATGACTTTTATGGTCACACTTTTAAACATGGCCCACCTGAAAACATAAATGTCACTTCCAGTCACCTAGTTTGATTGATAGCCAAAGAGTGAGTGTAAGTTCTTATAAAAGTGGAGCAAAGCCCATAAAATGCCAGTTGCTGGGCATTGTGGTACCTGACAGCCCAAGTCACCATGTACTTCTTTGAACTTGGTTCAGAATGTAACTGACACTATAAGGGTGTTTTCGTATGGACTTCGCACTGCCAAATTACTCCGCTCAACTTGCATGTTTCAGATACTTAAACTTCACTGCAGAATAATACTCTTTACTTTTGCTCCTTCATGATCAAAAACCTGGTAGGATGGCAAACTCAAAAGTATTGGGGGGAGTGGGGAGGAGAAACTATTGGTGATTCTGAGTCATTCTGCCTACTCATTCTTATTCTACCATTTTCTTTTATTGTTCTTGCAATTGTCTAAACATCTGTCAATACAAAGGAGAACTAATAGGCCAGAAATAGTCAGCCAAACTGGATACATTACAATAAAGAGGTACAAAAAGTAATGAACTGTTCACACTCAGGTTCAATTCAATCCAATCAAGAATAATGTCAGCAATATTTTTAGACATATTTTTTTTCTCTTCAAGAGTTTCTTGATAAGCACCTCACTGCACAAACATTGATAAGACAACTCTACAGAAAGTTAAGTCCTGACATTAATCCAGGATTAAATACCACAATATATTCAGCAACACACCATGTACATGATGAAGAAAGCTGCTATTCACGGGTTCGATTGGAATGAGCACAACTTCAAGAAGCTTGAAAATGAATGAGAGGCATTGCCCAAAAGATTCCAGAGCTGTTGGAATTACAGTGCCCTGACATCATGTAGAAATTGGATTCTTAACATTGGTGTTCCAATTGGGAAATTTATGCTTTTGTTTTCTATGAGATACACCCTGTTTAAAACCTTTCAACAGTAGAACGTTTAAAAAAAGTTTAAAACTTTAATCATCCCTTACAACGCAAGATATAGGTCCTGTTGTACTTGAAAAGCCACTATTTTTTCCATAAACCCACCTAAACTTGAGAGAGTGACTATTTACTAAAGTTCGGTAAAATTTATCAACAGTTGTTATTCTATTTAAATAGACTCCTTGTTAAAATCAGAAGAAAAGGAAAGGTCTGTGTTTCATTTCACGCTTTGACTTATGCTTAGGTCTGGAATCAGGGTTTCCAAGATTGGGTTTTGTTGTTTAACAGTGAATCACTGCAAGTCAGTTACTTAGCCACAAGTTAAAGGGTCACATTTTATATTTTCCTTTTATCTCCATACCTCACGTGAGAGTTTCTTAAAATATCGAAACAGCAATTTGTGGTGAGTGTGGTTTGGCTTTTGGATTTCATAAATAGTTCCAATTCCCTCCCCACCGAAGACAATTTAATTACATATTGAAATTGGCTTTACCCACACACAGTATAACATTTATTTGAAAGGCAACTGTAAAGGCAACATCTAAGCGTTCTTAAACTTCCACGATTAAGGAAGCAGGATGTGTTTGGATATTTATGCCTCTTTAACATATGCCATCTTTTGGGTGGCACTTTGAGAGCAAAATACACATGCCTTTCACAGGCACTTAACGCCATTTCTCTACGCTGCCTATGTAGTCATGAGTGCCATTGGTGGGGTTGTCACTCTGCTCCTGGCCTGGGCTCTGCTTCTGCCTCACTCGGTTCTCTTTCTGACTTGAACTCTGAGTCAGATTCTGCATCAGATTGTGAGTCACATTATTCTGGTTTGGGTTCTGATTCTGATTCTGACCGGGATTCCGGCTCTGCCCTTGGCCCTGACTCTGAAAGTGGGTCTGAAGGAATCGTCCCTTCAGAAATTTGCGTTGCTCCTGGCGCTTCCGCCTGGCCTCCTGATGCTCTTTCTGCCTCATGAATTGATACCTTTGCAGAAAGAGGTCTTTTGCATAGCTGTACAACTCCATATCCAGAAAATTCAGTCCCTCAATACGCTTTTGGATCTCCCCATTGATCTCGACACTAGAGGCCCTAGTGGTATTATATTGGGTAAACGGCGAAATAAAGTTCATGTTGAAGGTCTTCTCAAACAGGTACTGGGTCTTGCGCTGAAATTCCGTCAGGCCGAAGAATGCCATGTGCTTCAGATTGGATTTGGCGCTTTCCAGAAGGACCTTGTTCCGTTGCTTTTCAGGCATGACTGAGAGGTTGTAGCAGCCTACTAGGGTCAGGTCGGAGAGCATGCGCACCTGGCGGTTGTTGGCCAGATTATAGGGGCAGTCCATGAATTCTTTGAGGGGGCAGCCAGACCAATCATCACCTGTGTAGCAGCTGGGCAGCTCTTCAGAGGTCGGGGGTCTCCCATCGCAGACATGAAGAGATGCTTTCCATGTAGCGCCTCTCTGGACATGCCTCCACTCACTCAAGTACCGGGACACTGGGTCCCGGAGGATGGTGATGTAGTGAAAGTTCCTGTGGATGAAGCACAAAGATCCATAGTCAGAGATGTCCATCAGTGACAGAAGAGGGCTCATGGAGGAACATGGCCTCTGTGCTGGTCACTGGCTGGTAAAGAAGGCAAAGGGGGGAGGACAACAGGTGTGCTGGATTTGTCCAATGAACTGAGCTCCAGTGTAAGTTTCTGCTAGCCTTGCCATGGAGCCAACTACCTTGGATTTGCAGCCACCACAAGAGGTATGTGAAAGTTAGACTCAAAGACTGTGGCCTTGTCATTCTTCACCTCCCCCTTCTTTCTCCTGTCCTTTTCTCTCTCTCCAATCAATGAAAAGGAAATCTTCTCAGGGATGCCCACTGGCCAGAAGTCAAACTTCTAATGGCCTGTTCTGCCAGCGCCAGGCATCCATTTACGGATCATGACATGGAGACTTACAATGTATAGAAGTAGAAAGGAATTGGAAAGTGAGCTCCAATTCTAACACTTCTTATTAAGTATACAAATGTATTTCCCAATATTCAGCTTAACCTGGAAATCTTGTTGTTGTTTTATTTTTAAAACAAACACATGGAAGCTGCCAAAATCATATGTTGATTTTAACCTTTGCTACCATGCTGATATTCCAAAGATAGGGAAGTTAACTATATCCACTCCAAAATACCTTTTCCCACCCCCAATCTACTGAATGGAGGCACAGATGCCAACAACTATGGAGGCCTTGCTGAATAGTTATGTTGTTTTTTGAGTTGTAAAGAGGTATTCTTTGCTCAAATAGCAGGAGGGCAAATGCTTAAACCACTCGCTGACACATTCACACTCATATATAATGGGTACACACACATGATCCACACCTCGGAAATATCAAAGCATAGGAGCATACTCAAACAAAGGACCCAGTCATTGTACTTTTAAGAAGTAACTTCCGTTACATACAGTGGCCAAAGATCACAGGAAGTTGTTCTTTTCTTCCTCATATGTTCTTCTGGAACAGAAAAGCATTGGGCACACAGAAGCATCTGGCAGTGAAACTGAGGAGAGGGAAGGGCACCTTCATTGAGCTCTGACCTGACTTTGATGATGCCACTATACTTCCCCTCTGCAAAGACCAGTGCCAAAAAATAGCTACTTCTGCTCCCTAGTAGTTTGTGGCAGCATACCCTTCAGGCTCTCTCTTGTTTTTGGCATTTGTTCATTCTATCATTCATTCAATACATTTTTTCAGTCGGTCCTGGGTCTTGAAGTCTGGGCCTGAGCACTGTCCCTGAGTTCTTTACCTCAAGGCTAGGGCTCTACCACTTGAGCCACAGTATCACTTCCGGTTTTCTGTTGGTTCATTGGAGATAAGAGTCTCACAGACTTTCCTGACTGGGCTGGCTTTGAACTGCAATCCTCAGATCTCAGCCAGCTGAGTAGCTAGGATTATAGGCGTGAGCCACAGGCACCCAGCTCCATTCACCACATTTTTATTGAAACTCTTTGCTAGGCCCAAGGCAATAGTTTGGAGGCAATTAGTCTGGTTATTTGAAAATATTTTTTTAATTTAGCACAATGTCATATTTGGATTAACTTTTTAACCAGTCTTCCCAAGGGTGCATTGTAATAGGGACTGCTGGGTGCTTTAAACTCCCATAATGGAGTCACCTTCATCCTTAACTGAAGTTTTCTTGCCCAGATTTATTCTGCTGGTTTAAGCCTGCAGTGACATCTTCTGGTAAGTCTTAGAGTGCACCACAATGCAAGGCTGAGAGACTCCTTCCTAAAATGTTCACTTTGCCCTCCTCAACAGCTAGAACCCAATCTCGAAGGCTAGTGTAGGAATCCATGATTTATCAGCCCCGCCCCCACATGCAGAGAGTGAAGAGGCAATGCAAAGAGATTGAGACACTCAGTGACTCTCTTTCATTACAGATGTGGGGATCCAGTATAGCTTTCACCTGAGGGTTGATTAGCATCATATGAGACAAAGACACCCCAACAGAGCCAGGCTCAGTCTGAACACTGTAAGATTATCACTGTAGCAGACAGGCAGAGACATAAAATACAGAGAACCCTAGTAATTATAGCTACAGTCACTTAGGTAAAAATAACCAGATTCTGGCTGGGCACCAGTGGCTCACACATGTAATCTTAACTACTCAGGAGGCTGAGATCTGAGAATCATGGCTCAAAGACAGCCCAGGCAGGTAAAGGCCCTGAGACATCTCCAATTAACCACCTCCAAACTGGAAGTGGGGTGCAGCTCAAAGTGGTAGAGCACTAGCCTTGAGCACAAAAGCTCAGGGACAGTGCCTAGGCCCTGAGTTCAAGCTCCACAATCAACAACAACAAAAAAAAATTAAAAAAAATACCCTGGAGATTCCATGAGAGTTAACCCACTTCTTCTGGAGAAAACATTCTTTTTTTTTTTCTTTTGGTCAGTCGTGGGACTTGAACTCTGGGCCTGGGCGCTGCCCCTCAGCTCTTCAGCTCAAGGCTAGCGCTCTGCCTTGAGTCACAGTGCCACCTCCAGTTTTCTGGTGGTTCATTGGAGATAAGAGTCTCAGGGACTTTCCTGCCTGGGCTGGCTTTGAAGTGCAGTTCTCAGATCTCAGCCTCCAGACTAGCTAGGATTACAGGTGTGAGCCATTGGCACCCGGCACCAGAGAAAATATTCTAAGGGGCTGAGATTGGTAAGAATTTCCTCAACTAGCAATGCTTAATGCTGCTGAAAATATGATCCCATAGATGAAATAGACGACGTGCTAAAGATAAGGTCATCAGTGTCCAGCAGCCTCCCAAGTTCCATGGGTGTGTTGGCAATGGGAAAAACAAGACAGATAAGGATAATACCCTGGAGGTTTTTTGTTGCATACCTCCAGGATGCAATATCTTGAGGGGAGAATTTGTAAGGAAATAGCTGCAAAACAAGTCTTCTTACCCAGTGCAACTGAGATAGAAAAACCCAGTATAATTAGGAACATGGCTGGAGAGGCAAACAGACTCAGAAACCTGGACAGTACTGGTCTAGGGATGAGGCTAGTCAGTTCAGTTCCATGACTTCTTTCCTCTCAGCACCATATGTGTGTTTGGTGAGAAGATAGGCACTGAGGATGCCTCAAGAATAAGACATGAAAACGTAATGAACTATTACAATGACCCAATGATGACTGAGAAAATACAGGGTACAAGGGAAACATCTTGCAAGGACCTGTAACTAATGTGAGAGGAATGTGTTGTATACCTTTGTTCATCCCTCGGCCCGCCTGTCCCCCCCAAAAAAAAGAATGAGACAAGGAAAGAGAGGAAAGGAATATGAAAAGGAGAAGCATGGGAGAAGGCCTAGAGGAAACAGAGTGGCTTGTTGTGTAGAAGAGAAATAGGGAGCTTAGGAGAGGGCAGAAATCAAAGAGACAAAAATGATTAGGGCTCTGTACTCATTGCCTTACTCATGAAACTGGAACCCCTCTGTACAGCATCTTTACAAGAAAATAAAATTTTAAAAAATGATCAGAGCTAGTTGTGGAAGGCCTCACATGCACATTAAAGGATTTATAGTCAGGCACCCATGGCTCAAGCTTATAATCCTAGCTTCTTGGAAGGTGGAGATAAGAAGAATCTAGTTCTAGGCAAGCCACGGCAAAAAGTTTGTAACACTCCCGTTTTGGGTATGATGGCATACATCTGTCATCTCAGCCACAGCAGGAAGTATAAACAGGAGGACTATGGGCCAGCCTGGCATAGGCCCAAAACAAGATTCTTATCTCAAAAATAACAAGTGGCTCAAGTGGTAGAGCACGTGTCTAGCAAGCAAAAGATTCCTGATTTTGAATCCCAGAAATACCCCAAATGAAAGGGACTAGTACACGTGCATCAAATTATCACTCGGTGCTCCCAAAATATGTGCTGTATGAATAGAGGATGTTACACACATTGATTTAGAGGCTACTATGGAAAACAAGGCAAAAGGAGGAGGCAGGGCCAGCTAGAGAAATACTTAGGACACAGAATAAACAAGACTTGGTGAGAAGATGGATGGAAGGGAAAGGGAGGAGAAATTAAAGAAGCTTCCTAGGTCTCTGGAGGGAGGCTGGAGGTGTCTGGGGAAGATTCAAATAGAACTGAAGGAACACTTTAGAGGGTAATCTGGCCTCCAGATATAGACACAGGTGGTCAGCAAAAATGGCCTCTTCCAGACCATGAGGGACTACTTTGAGATCCATTTGTAACTCTACTTGTGTGGCTTCAAACATCTCAAGAAAGCATTGATAACCCCCAGAACTTCTCTTCTTCATGCCAAATATGGTTTCCAACTGTTCTCTACCCTGCTGTCAGGGTGCTCAGTGTCCTGTTGATTATATCTGAGTATGTCCCAATTTTTAGAACATGGTCCTCCATGCGTGCTCTGACAAGTGACCAGACAGGGCAGTCTATCATTTCCTCATCTTTGCATCATTTCTCTGCATGCAGATCACATCATATGCCTCCTTCTGACAAACACACCACACCATTGGCCCACAATCAACTAAATCATGCCATTTGTTTTTAACATACTACATGCCATTTTGAAAATCTATTGTGTCTGGTACAAGTACTGGTGGTCACTTAATTCCTTCTAATTTGCAGAAGTGGAGTAGTCAAAATGCATATGGCTTCTGATCGTATCCCTCAGTATCTTTCTTGTCCTTGTGGCCAGTGTGTTTACATGGGCCTTGTTCAAAACAGAACAAGGAACTAGGGACTAGTGGCTCAAATCTGTAATCCTAGTTACACAGAAGGCTGAAATCTGAGGATCACAGTTCGAAGCCAGCCTGGGCAGGGAAGTCTGTGACACCCTTATCTCTAATTGACCACCCGAAAGCAGGAAGTGGTGCTGTGGCTAGCCTTGAGCACGAGGGATAGCACCCCAGCTCTGAGTTCAAGCCCATGACCATAAAAAACAAAACAAAACAAACATAGAACAAGGTATGAGTGAGAGCAAGTCTGTGATAGTGAACGACGAATCTCCCTTCAAGCTGGCATGAACCTGAATGGACTGATT